GCCTGGGTGGAGAACACAGCTGGGGAGACCAGCAATGATGGTTTTGAAATTCTTATTTCCAAACAAGAGGCTGGGGAACAGGGGAGGTTGAGGGAATAAAGTTAGGTCAGTCATGCCACACCCAACAGCTAGCCACTTGGGTGCCTAGAAGTGGCTTTTACCTAGTTCTACACAGTGCATTGGTACTCTGTAGCAGAGTGGACTCCCTAGCTGGTTGTGATGAAATTTGGGAGGCTTTGCCTCTCCCCTCTGCCTGTCCTAGTCTTTGATTTGTTTTGTGACCTGGCTTCTGCTGACGTTATGCCCTTCTCTTGCACTGGGGCAGAGTGGCGACAGGGCAGGATGGCCCGTATCATACTGCAGGATGAAGATGTGACCACAAAGATAGACAATGACTGGAAAAGGCTGAACACCCTTGCCCACTACCAGGTAAGGCTGCCCAGCAGATGAGGAAGTGGAGCAGAGCAGTAGGCAGTTACCAGCAGTCAGAGTTCAGGTGCCTGGAGATTTAGTGCTCTTCACTGGCATGCTATGAACTCTGGGCTCAGCTGTGGGCCCATGTCCCACATTTTAGTTCTGAAGGGAGACTGGGCCAGGGGGCCACATAGTGTATAGAGACTGGGTTTTAGCTTCCAGTGTTTCCATCTGCAGGTGGCAAGCAATACTCATAAGCCTTCCAGAATGGAGGGGAAGTTCCTTACCTCCCTGCCCAGCAAGCCCTTGGGCTCAGGAGGAAACAGTGCTCATTGGAGCTGGGAGCATCTCCTATTGAGTGCTGCCTGGATGAAAGGTTATTTCAAGGCATCAGGGGCCCTGGGGCAGGCCTCTCCTTTCCCAGCCATCAGTGCAGCCAGGAATGGGAACCTGCTAAGTGATCTGGATTGCGAGGCAGCTTGTAGGAGTCCTGTTTACTCAGTTTAGACCAGAGCTCTTGCTATCAGGGGCACCTGGTTAGGTGATGAGGATGGCAGTTTAGTTTGTAGCTGGTGCTGGTGAGGGGAGGGAAGGGGAAAAGGGGAGTAGGTTCCTGTGGCAGTTTTGGGCCCTGAAGGCATTTGGTTTCTTGTGGCCATGGTAGGGAGCTTCTGCAGGAGTGGGGCACCCCGCATGTCTCAGTCATTTCCCACTGCTCTCTGCCTCTAGGTGACAGATGGCTCCTCAGTGGCGCTGGTGCCCAAGCAGAACTCAGCATACAACATCTCCAACTCTTCCACCTTCACCAAGTCACTCAGCAGATACGGTGAGCATGTGGGGAAACCCCACTTTCTGGAGCCCGCAGTGATGTCAACTCTTGTCAGGCCAGGGACCTGGAGACAGTGGGTTCCAGAAAAGACAAGGGGGCAGATCACACACACTCAGCTTTTTGAAACAAAGCCACCAACCTCCCCAGCTCTTTGGTGCCCTCTCACTCATCCTGGGTTCCATCGAGAGTGAGCAAAGGCTCCTGTGTGTACACGCCTTTGTCTTTCACCAGTGTAGGATGCTGGGTGTGTATTACATGCTAAGTACTTGCTTAGAGCACATGTGCACCTTACTAAAATAGGGTCAGGAGCAGCAAAGCTGAGAAGGGTTTGTGAAGGTGAATTTAATGTGCGTGAGAGGTGGTGGCTGGTGGTCCTGTCAAATGAGATGGTCTGTGCACCCAATGAGCAGGAGCAGTGCAGGACACCACAGTGCAACGTGTGTCCACATTGGTGTGGAAGGGAAATTTTTATCTACCGAGACTAAAACAAGATGTTGCATGAGAGGTGTCATCCTGACATGCCTACCTTGTTTTCCTTGGGACACTGACCTGGTATCACATGGCAATACCTCCTGTGGTGTGAATCTGGCCTGAAATCAGCCTAATTGCCAAAGGTCCGCTCAGCATGTCCCTAAGCATCGAGTCGCCCAGTCCATGAAGGTTTTGCGGCTGGAACCAGAGCCTGGCACACATTCTATGGCCATGACACACGTCTGTGTTAAGCAATGTCAGAGGCAGAAGCAGGTAGAGATGGGAAGCAGCAAAGGAGGGGAAGAGGTGTTCCCATTGTGCCTGGTTTTCCCACAGAGAGCATGCTTCGGACAGCCAGCAGCCCAGACAGTCTGCGCTCACGGACCCCCATGATCACACCTGACCTGGAGAGTGGCACCAAGCTCTGGCATCTAGTGAAAAACCACGACCACATGGACCAGCGGGAGGGTGACCGGGGCAGCAAGATGGTCTCTGAGATCTACCTGACCCGCTTGTTGGCCACCAAGGTAGGGCATACAGGAGTGAGGCTGTCTGCTTGCAAAGAGGAGGTGGGTGGGAGATGAAGTGCTGAGTGGGGACCATTCCTGGAATTCCTCACCAATTTTTTGACTTCCCTTTCAGTATTTCTGCCGTAAGCCTCTGTTCTTGGCATCCCTGCCCTGCTGGCTTCACACATAACACCTGGTTCTAGCTGATGCCAGAGGACTCCACCCCCTGTCACTGCTGGCACAAAGCTCTGTGGTGTGACTTGTTCTATCTTTCCTTCTGTCTCTTCATAGTGATAGATGCCATTATGTACTAGATCTCTGTGTCAGCAGAAGAGGGGCAGGGGAGGGAGCCTAATAAAAGCAGAGGCTTAAGACAGAAATGCTTGATCTGAGCCTTCAAGAGGCCAAGAATTGAAACAGCTTTTAATTCTACTAATGCCACACCAGGCCTTGGGTTTGCATTCTTGGCCAGTATGAGAAGCAGTCAAAACCCTATTATTGTGTTTTGAGGCTAGGGAACCAGCCTCCACCCCCACCCCTACTATGCTTCTAATTGACAAAGCTGAAATGCACATGATGTAAGTTGTTCTTCTTCTTTGTTTGCACCAAACCACACCAACCGCTGTAGTAATCTGGTACAGATTGAAATGCTTTCACTGCCGGTGGCTTGCACTATGGTTCTGTTTCCAGTCACACTCCACTGAACTCGGTGAAATGTCAGGGCAAACCAGGGTGGTTCAGAACCACAGCGGGCATGTGCTAGCCTGCCATTTCTAATGCATTGGGTAATAGGCCAGGTGCATTCTACCAAAGATCTAGTCAGTACATTTTACAGTAAAGAAGACTTTAGACATCTCTGCTTTGGGGCAGGGACTATGTCTTGCTGATTTGTCTGTCATGGTTCTGGCTTGTTTTGGGGTGTTCAGAGAAGAAATAATAGATCTGGCACATGTGGCAAGTTCCCCTTGCCCAGGCATACTTAAAACCTTCCAGACTACCAAGCAGGCCTTCAATATGAGAGATTTGCCTGGAGTGGAAATGCTGCTCTTGTGGTAGATGCCTTGAACGGGGGCTTGGAAGATTAGGGTACACTGAAACTTTGTGCGGTTCTGTCTGTAAAATGAGGATAATGCTTTCCCCATCTTAGTGGGGGTTTGAAGATAAGTTCAGCAGTGCTTATGTAGAGCAATGGAAAACACTTAAATACTTAGGTAGATAATGCCATGGGTTGGCTTTCAGGCCATGCAGGGTTTTCCATTTGATTAGTTCACTTCAATTTATTCTGTGTTTCCTCTCACATGAGTTTCCCAACTGGATTGTGCTCACCAGGTGTTATACACATGGCCATATTTCTTTCTGGAAGCCATGAATAAACCAAGCAATGTACTACCGTAACAAGACATCTTTAATACTATGAATGGGTTACCCTCATTATTTCCATGTCATAGTGACTGGGATGTGTAGGTGACAAGAAGCCATCTTGTAAGACAGCACAATATTTGGGTGGAGTTGAGTTATGAGACCAGATCACATGGAGTCTGAGAAACAGGCACTTGATATTTAATTTTCATCACGTTGTCCAGTATAAACATCTGAGGGCTTGTCTGTTTACATGGACCTGATGGGTAGCTCACTTCTGCCCCAAGTTCAGATAATGGTCAGTGCTGGCAACGTGAGGGAGAGATCCATGTCCAGAATGACCAGCCAGCCCTGTTGGTCCTCTCCATCCCCACCCATGACTTACTGAGCCATACTGAGCAGCCATTCTTCTTTTCTCATCTGCAGGGCACCTTACAGAAGTTTGTGGACGACCTGTTTGAGACCATCTTTAGCACAGCCCATCGTGGGAGCGCCCTGCCCCTTGCCATCAAATACATGTTCGATTTTCTGGATGAACAGGCTGATAAACATCAGATCAATGACTATGATGTCAGACACACCTGGAAGAGTAACTGGTAATTTGGGCCAGAGCCAGGGGAAGAGCGGGAGGAGGCCCTTGTTCCAGGTTGTGCTGTCTCTGCTAATGAATGTTTCCAAACATCTGATGGGAACTTGGAATGGGCCAGTATCACCCAAGGCAGATTATTACCAAAAGGGACCTGAGTCAAGCAGAAACTCCAGGCACATAAATCTACCTGTACTTCAGCATTCCCTGGGGTGGGTAAAGCTGACTTATTCTGCACTGTAACAGAAATAGCCCCAGCTGAACCATTCCTATAAACATATGCTAAAGGACTAGATTGGGGGTGGCCATCCTGCAGCACGCATGCCACAAGTGACAGGCAGCCTCTGTGTGTGGTATACAAACTGGGGAGGGACAAACAGCACAATGGCAGGTAGGGCAGAAAGCAGAGCAGCAGATCAGGCAGGGAGCACAGGGCGGGAAGCAGAAAGCAGAGTAGCAGATCCAGCAAGGGAATAGGATTGAAGGAGCACTTGGCTGTGGGGTTAATTTATGGCATGCCTGCCAAAAAGGTTGGCCTCCACTGGACTAGGTGCTCCTTCATGTACACCTTATACCTGGGCTTTGTGAAGAGGCCTGAGGCTTTGATGTTCCCAGCTCACCTGGGGATAAATGGATCGTGGTTCCTGAGTCCCTTAGGTAGCTTTGCAGACCTCCAACTGTATCCTGAAATGGGCTTTCCTAGTAGTGTTTGATCATATTCTGTTCAGCCTTTTACCTTGCCAGGCACGGTGTAACAAAGAGTAATGTCATATGTGCATCCTGCATAGACTAGCCTTCAGAGCCAACCCATTAGGTTTGCTAATTACTTCCAGGAAAGGGCGGGAAGGAGGGGAGCTGTTTGTGAGCTCCCAGTAAGCACAATGATGGGACTCACACTTAGCTGCATACGGGCTTCATAACTCCAGCCCCCCTCCACGTCCTTCTTTTCCGCTGCCTTGCTGATTTCATCTCTCTGATCTTGCTGTTACTGGCGATGGGTACGTACATTCCTGTGTCTGGCATTTGTTAAATGGCAGCCAAATTGCTTTTGTATAGTTCAGTAACTGTCGGCAATTAGCAGGGCAGGAAAAGAAACATTTTTAAATGGAGATGTGAGAGCGCAGAAACGCTTGGAACTGATTTATAACTCTGCTCGCTATATTAAAGGAAGGAGCGAAGGGGGAAGAAAAAAGCCTGGTTCCGCAGGGGCTGGGCACACAGGCTTCTGAATACTAATGCTCACACTTATCTCAGGGCACTACTTCGATGTGTGGAGCTAATTTCTTGAGGCTGTTCCCTTCACAATTGAAATATGCACATGCACCCAGCACCCTCATTAGGAGAGTCCTGTGGAACCAAGCGTTTGGCATCTGAGACGCAGTCATTCCCAGGGGATTTGTCCCAGGGGTTGATCTTTGAGCAGCTTATAAATGAGAGCTGGTTGTGCAGAGACTGCCATGATGAGGTTGGTGTAGGAACCTGAATGAAAGGGAGAGTGATGTGCACATGTGCTCTGAGCAAACACTTAGTGTGCAGTACATAGCCAGCATCTTCCTCTAGCTCTGAGCCCCCAGGAGCAATAGCTTTGTTGTCTGATATCGGAGGCAATCTTAAACTTCCTCCTATCATAAATATCTGAATCCGCTCAACAAGCCCCACTTCACATGAACCCGCCTGTGAATTTTGTAGACTGCCATGAGGAGCATCTGCTGAGGTGGAAAATGTTATGTCCAGTTTGGCCTGAGACAGAAGGCATGCGGATAAGACAGTCCATGGGAACAGAGCACTGTCTCTCAGATGGGAGTAAATGATTGAGCTATTTGAGAGGTGGAGGCTATTGAAGCATCTGAGGACAAGGTGGCCGGTCCCAACTAACAGGGATAAAAGGACATCCCCAGTTTGGGATCACGGGGTTGTCAACACTTCTGTCTTCTGATCAGAAGTGATTTGGGGTGGTGAGAATACGTGGGAGAAGGAAAGGGGAAACACAGTCAAAGGACTTGAAATGAGGAGAGCTCGCTTGTGACATAAGGCTGAAGAGAAAGGAAGGGGGAATCTGAGTGTTGCTCTGAACCATTGCTGATTAAAGTCAGACCCAGGTCCCAGTCCCATACAAATTCCTTCAGACCCCCTGCTCCTTCAGAGGGGATGGTGGCCTCTGTGGTAATGCATTAAAAATCCCCTCCCTGATGAACTTGCCATGAATGGGAGACCCTTGTTACCTGAGAGTTGTAGGTTGTCCCCGGTCAGCAGTCTTGTCTCAGGCAGCTGCAACAGTTCAGCAGAGGAAATGCCCCTGAGGCAGAGTGAGTTTGCACACACAGAGACTCTCCAGGTGTCTGGGAGCCAGCAGTGCTTCATGTTGTTGGCTCTGGTTTCTCTGGTCTTCCTGTGTCGTTTCTGTTGGAGGACTGAAATATAGCAAGGTGGGGAATCAGCGTTCTCATCTCATTAACATTTCAGACACTTCCCTGTGCCCTATTGTGATCAAGCTGAGATTTTCCAAAAATTGCCTTGAAAATGTGAGGGGGAGGTAGAGAAAGAACATGTGTTCCCCAAATAGTCCAAAGCCTGGGTATCAGAACGGTCCCCTGGGTCTAGTCTCTGCTCTGCCTGATCTGGTTTCTTCTTTGTCTCCTCTTGGTGCTGCCCTTCTTTGTAGAAATTAAATATTCCTTGGTCCAGAGACAGAGAGAATGGCTTTTTATGCAGACCATGGTTAGGAGCTCACCTGCAGTGTGGCAGACTTGGGTTCAGATCCCTTTTGCAGAGACATCCTGACAAGCTCTGTATTCAAGCTGAGTCCCCATGATGCCAGGTTTTGGCTGGGCTCCATCTTCAGCTCCATGTGCTCCTGTTAAAGACACCTGGTTGTGTCTGTAGCCTCCTTGTGTGACAGACCACGGGGTATGCAATTATATTATACCCAGTAACCACACTGAGGCAAAATGTCTTTGACCAAAGCTACAAGATCGGCTCAGCGTCAGAGCTGCAGGGAAGCAGAGCTTGTTCCTAACGAACACTAGTGCTGGTCAGGCAGAGATGGGCTGTAGTGCTAGTGGGGTCTTTAGGAGTCTTGGACCCTCGTTTCACAGCAGGTAGATGTAGGCCCTCAAAGTATCCAGAATCTCTCATCACCCTCCTTTAAAAGTGTTGATGTGGCTGAGAAATTCCTTCCTGCTATCTGTCCTATTCTGTACCCACTGGATAGAAATATCCCTGAGTAGGTTGGACCTTAGGGGACAGTTCCCCAGGATCCCAGACTGCCATTGGGTCTGTAGCTGAATGGATATTTTCTCCAACCTGTTTATATTCTTGTAGGACTTGGGGAGAGGAATATGCCAAACTCTAGCTTCCCAGGATTCTGTATCAGCAGAGATCAGAGCCCTGTCTACTAGCTATTCCCTAAGGCCTGGTTTTCTGTACTGACTCCCTTTCTTTCTTTCTTTTCCCAGTCTACCTCTGCGATTTTGGGTGAATGTGATTAAGAACCCCCAGTTTGTGTTTGACATTCACAAGAACAGTATTACTGATGCCTGCCTATCAGTGGTGGCTCAGACATTCATGGACTCCTGCTCAACTTCTGAGCACAAGCTAGGGAAAGATTCTCCCTCCAACAAACTACTGTACGCCAAGGACATCCCCAACTATAAGAGCTGGGTAGAAAGGTAAGTGCCCTTGGACCTGGCCATCTCTGTGTTGTACATGTTGTATTTGGTATATGCATAACTGAGGCTTATGGACTCTCCAGTTCATATTGTCCATGCTTAGAGAGCTTGGTAAATGTAATGATTTTTCTACAGATGGTCCTTAATGGGTGATGTGGTGGGGGTCCTGGGGAGTCCCTGCAGCATGTGGTCCCCAGCCGCTCTGATGTTGGCCAGCCCTTTCTAGGAAGTGGCAAGCCCGAAAGAAGTGGAGCACTTTCCAGCTGCTCTAAAAGATCCCTTGAGTGGTTCATTTCTGGAGCTTGTTTTGGTTGAGTATAGGAGGCAGCGGTCCGTAATTTATGTGTTGGAGACCTGGGAATGGGCCGGATAGTTAGGTCATGTAGCTTTCCCATTTAAAAATATGCTTGTGGTTCTTTGTCAGAGATGTTCTGACAGTTTGCGTCAGGCCTTTGAAATTCAGGAAGGAGAAAGCCCCAGGGCTAGAGAAGTGCCTTTTCTTTGTCTCACGAGTACCCATTCTGGTTTTGTGGAGAGATGAATTATTGAACATTGCTGTTTCCCTTGTCTCCTTTGCACTCCTCAGTTTAGGAGTCTGCTAAACTGATCACTGAACATGGACCTGCTCAGGAAGAGCTCATACGGTTACCAGAGCTAGACTAAACTGGGGTCAGGAGAAAAAAACAGGGCAGGCTCCTCCCAGTGGAATAACAGCTTTCCTTTGCTGCTAGTTAACATAGCAAATCTTGTGATGTAGTTCTGTTCTGCAGCACAGAAAGTTCAGGGTTCAAACCTTCCTCATTTTAAAAGAAAGCTAAGGAAATGACGTAAGGTTACTAAGGTGTGTTTTAAGTAAGGTTATTAAGGTTGCAAAGTTGAGAAATGGCAGTTGCTGTTGCAGCCTTACTTTAGCCTTTCTGTGCTTCTGCTTTACAATACATTCTGTATTATCTGTTCACCTAACTTTTTTCCCCAGGATCCCTGCCCAATTCATTCTACTGGGAGGTTGCTTATGTGGGTAACTGTAACTCTGGCATTTCCTGAGATTTGAGTGCTTGATGTTGCCACTCAAATAAGGTTCTTGCAATGGTTTTTTAGCTTGCTTTTATTCATATGGCAGCATAAGCGAGTATGGTGCTGTGCCAGTGACTAAAGAGATGTGTTAGCTGTCCTAAGGGTCTTACAGCTTCAGTTAGATTCAAAACATAAGGAAAATGTCAGTGCAACACAGTGGGTAGGGGAGAGAGGAAGACCATGTTCAGCACTTTCACTCTTCTGGCACAATGGACTTTTCTACAGTAAAGGTGAAGCTCACTGGTACAGGAGGCAGGGTTTTCTCAGGTTGTACTAGTTTTGAAGTTGTGACGTGAGAGATCTCAGGCACTAAGGGCCACCACAATCTCCTCATCTTCATTCCAAGTGCCAGGTTAGTGGCTTTGACCTTGCTTTTTCCAACACGAGCCTATAGTGACATTTGTATTAGGGGTAGGGGGAAAGAGTTAAAAGGATTCAAAATCACTCCTCTGTCTAAGGAGACCATGAAAGAGTGAGCAGATGACAGATGTTCCTCCCATCACTTGCTGCACTCCTGTAAGGTGTTCAGATACCATGGTGATGAGTGCAGTGCAAGAACCAATAGAGGATAGAATAGCAGAAGAAGTCTATTTTCTGCTGAGTGCAATATTCCCATATGGGCTAAGTGGCTGTATTTCACACTTCTCATCTTCTGTATGGCTTTATGGCGTAATTGAAGTTTCTTGGGTAGATTTATCATTGCAAACCTTTGTAGAAAGAAGGATTTGAATGAAGAGAATGTGGTTGACTGCAACTGGCAGTTCCAATAAAAGATCCGTGAAGAATCAAGAATCAGAAGGGAAAAGGAGCCAAAAGAAATTTCAAGAGGTCGTCTAGCTCAACCTGTAGGGTAATTCTTGTCTACAGCCTTCCAGACAAATGTTTGTATACCAGCACTTAAAAACTTCCAGAGATCTGGATTCCACAACCTCTCTGGGGAAGATGTGATCCATGTGGTGGTCAGCATAGCTGTATAAACTAAAGAATTGGATGTGAAATGTTCACAGGTGATCGCAAAATACCACCTTTGGCTTTATACGGCGCAAAAACAACAACCTGTTGCAGCAATTTGTGGGATTATTTGATGGAAAATCATAAAGGATTCTGGGATATGGGGTCAAGGGGCAAAGTAGGAGGTTTGAGGGTCATTGGAGGCATGGCAGGAAAAAATGGATGGCTTGAGGGTGGCAAGTGGAAAATCATTTCAAGTGCCTGAGTCCTGCTGGACAGAGCACTGGATTGCTTCTCAGAAGGCTTAGGTTCAGTTCCCTGCTGTGCCCCTGGACTGTTGGGGGACCTTGGAGAGATCCCTCTGTAAAATGGATGATACTTCCTGCATAGGGAAGTATGGGGAGAATGATACTGAGCTCTTTTGCAATGTGCTTTCAGATCTACTGGCAGCGTTCTAGGAGCCAGGTGCATCTATACCATCGTGGCAAGACAAGAGGTGTCTTATATTCATTCTTCAGACTGTCCATAGGGTGTTTGCAGAAGGAATTATGTAGAAGGCTGCCCCTTTCCCCTCTACCCACACCCTGTCTGAGACATGCTGTTGTGTTTCTCCTGTTCCCTTTGTAGATATTATGCAGATATTGCTAAAATGCCAGCAATCAGTGACCAGGACATGAGTGCATACCTGGCAGAGCAGTCACGGTTACACCTGAGCCAGTTCAACAGCATGAGTGCGCTGCACGAGATCTACTCGTACATCACCAAGTACAAGGATGAGGTAAGTCCCCAGGAGGGCTGGCGTGGCTCTTAACCACAGTGTGCAAGCACTTTCCCCACACTCACGTGCCCCTTGGTTTGAAATGGAGAGGAGAAAACTGGATTCATCTCATGCTAGGGACATTTCAGGATCCTAAGGTGAAGGCTGGCCTGGAATTAAGTTACCTATCCTGTGTTAACCAAATAGTACCCCATGGGGTGAAAACCATTTGAGAGGACATTGCCCGGTGAGTGTCTCATTCTTGGGTGCATTGGAGTTAAGTTAGCAGCCAGGGTGCTGACCAGCTGTATATCCCATAGACTGCATTTCTTGTGGAGACTGGGTGAATGGGTTGCTCATAAAACGGAAGCTAAGTGCCAAGGGGTGATTAGCACAGTACATGGTGAGAGGCCTAGTTTCATACAACAGCTTTGCTCTTCACTCCTGGCCTTGTTATTCCAATTAGTTGCCCTCAGAACTGATCAGCACCACTCCTTCCTTTTCTCATAATGGACACGGCAGTCGGCTGTGTGAATAGCCCTGACCTGCAGCAGTACCTCCAGCTGGTTTAGTCTTGGTTCTTTTCTTCCAAACATTGCGACAGAGATCTTGGTCTGTGTCCCTATTTCTTCTAGCGAGCAATACAGGGAAGTGCTAAATTCCTTTCCCAGTTGAGAAAGTCAGGATTTAAAATCAATTCTCCAAGGATACAAGGTTGAAATTATCATCCCAGTGTGCCTCACCTCAACTGCTTCCTTCCCTTTTTGCTTTAAATTATTCCATAACAGAGCAGTACCAATGAGTTTACACACATGGGATCTTGCTTGTGATCCCATAGGATATTTGGTGAAAGTGGTGCCCACTCTGGACGTTGATAAAGAGGGTTAAAAACCCAACCAATGTAATTGGTACAAATTAACTTCATAAACCACTCATCAAACACACTCTTTGCAATCCTTTTGTTAAAGTAATAAAATATATGACTACAATGTATGTGTGTGTGTGTGTGTGTGTGTGTGTGTGTATGTATGTATGTATATATATGTGTGTGTATGTGTGTAACACACAATAATATAGATTTTATTGTCCCCATAACGCTGAGTGCAAACTTTGGATTGTCATTTGTTTAGCCCATAAAATGCCTTTGCCCCAGAATGGTGCATTATCTCCTGTGTGACAGAGGGGCTTTTCTCCTCCCCAAGGGAGCCAGCCAGGGGGGAGAGCATGAAGCCCATCACCCTGCAGCCACATTGCAGGAAGAGACAAATGGAAAGGAATAGCTAGCTCAAGGGAGAGGGATACACAGCCTTTTTCTGTGGGCTGTCTGGATTTGACTTTCATTACTAGCTACCAAGTGGTTGTCCCTTCCTGTGAGCTGTTGGGTGACCTTCCTGAAATGAATGTGACAGGAACTTAGTGTAGTTCTTAATAGAAAAGTGCTCACATCACCAAACTCCTTCATCCCCCTGCCGCTGGAGACAGAAGTCAAAGCATGGAGACGGAGAAATCAGGGCATGAGGCACAGGGTTTGCAAAAGTTGTACAGCTTCCCCTGTTGTCTCTTATTCCAGCTGTTGGGGATAGCCAGCAAATAGCTCTTGCTGGCCTGACACTAAACCTACTAGAACTGGCCAACTGATAGGCACAGAGGGGAGTCTGGATTAGTGGGTCGGGCCCATGTCAGCAGGAGAGTGTGGTGATTCCTTGAATTTTGTGGCACAGGCTCAGGTGGGTTCAGATGGATTTTGGGTGCCTTCGTGTAACTGCTTATTGGTCAGGGCTTTTCACTGCAAATGGGGAGGGAGGAGCTGGGGGGACAAGACTTCTGTAAGTAAGAAGTGGACACGTGGAGGAGGCGCTCCAGCTTGCCTCAGATGACCTTTGTTTTCGGTGACTTTGTGGCTACATAGGACTCCAAACCTGGCTGTTGCTTATTGCCAGTGCTTTCGTGGTCTGGGTTGGCACGATGGGTCTTATACACCCAGACTGAAATGCATTGGCAAAGCTGTGCAGGGAGCTTAAGCTGTCAGAGGCTCCCTTTCATCAGCACTTAAAAGACACCTCAGTCTTAAATTAAAAATCATACGCACACGGACAACTGTGGGGGAGTCAGGAGTGGGGGAAGTGTGATATTAATAAGCTGTTCTTTGGAGACGGAGGGTGAGTTGCCATTCTGTCCTTGCCAGTTAACTGTGGTCTGGCATCTGTTGAATGTTCCTCCGTAGCCCACTCTCTAAGCATCACTAGTGTGTTCACAGCTCTCAGGAACTTCTTTTATTATTCGTAATGGGATTAATAAATCGCAGCTGTTCCCTTTGTTTGTTTTCATTCATTAAGCACAATTACATGCAGCCCGATTGCACCCTCTTTGATGCGAAATGGGAGAGAATAATTTTTCCTGTTGTTCAGCGCAATAATATGCTGTCATTGGCTTTGAATGAAAATCATAATTAATTTTCATTTGGGTACTTGCATCTTCGTAATCACTGGTCCTGGCTCCTTACAGCAGGTGACAGGCATGTACCTCTCTTTATACTCTGCATGGATTTTCTTTTGCTGTGTTGTTTCCATAAAGACAATAAGATAAAGATAATCAAATAAATACGAGGCAGGTTGTAAATCTTTCAGCACCCTCAGATTTCAGTAATATACAGCTGTCTTATCAGGAGAGGCAGTGGTGAGTTGGGTAACTAGACAGATTCCAATTCTCAGACTCATCCTGTTCAGTTCTGCATCAGATGCCTTTAAGATGCATGGTTTTTGACTGCCAGATAAATTTTTTTTTGGTTAGGTACAAAGTGCTTTGGTGTCCTCTAGAGGCAAGTCTGGTTACTGACGGGGAAGTGTCCATTGAGATCTTTAAATATACTGTATAAGACCTGAGTCCACCCAGCCCTGTGCTTTGTCTCCAGCTGTAGACTATAGCTGCCAGTCAGGGAAAAGTAAATAGAAGTCTTTTAATCTCTCCAGATGATTATAACATGCAGCACACAAGGATAGTTGCTTTTTGACCTCCAATAGATGATGAGTTTGACACCTTGAAGCCTGACATTTGTTTTCCCCTGTCCTTGAACAGAAGTACAAATGTTGCTGTTAGTGACCATTAAGCTAACCAGTAAAATATCCAGCCACAGGATCTGAGCTGATCTGATGAATAAATCTGGGGTTTGGCTGATCTTTCCTGCCATCTCCTGACCAAATGCCCACAGTGTAAAAATACCTTTCCAGCCCTGGTGCAGCTGTTCAGTAGGTAGGACACCCTCTGCAGTGACCAGGACCTCAACAAAATCCCAGGATGCACAATAAAACCCCACCAAACCACAGTGAAGGCAGGGAGTGAAGTCACAAAGCAAAATTAATGGGCATCACATTTAGAACCAGGAGAAGGAGCAGAGAAGACATCCCTGGATCATGAAGTTGCAGCGAAGGCACAGGCTGGATGGATTTGGAAAAAGGCTAGAGGAGTCTTTAATGGCCTAAGTAACTGTTGCAACTTCATCCCCACAGGATGTGAGGAAATGTCTGGGAGGAGTTTTTCTCCCTTTGCTACAGCATCTCAGCCAGGATCTGAACCTGATGGGCACGAAACACCCTCAGTGTGAAGTTGGATGCTTGACATTTTGCGGGATTGAGTTCTTGGTTGGATGCACTGCGGAAGTGCAGACCAGCTGGGCCAGACTGGCTGGTGTTACCTACCTTGAGTCAAGAAGACGTGCTGAGACCCATGTCTCCGGTGTCCAGGGGTTACTGAGCCTTAGCACAGCATCTGCTTCACAGCACATCCTGTGCACTCCATGCTAGAAACCTGCAGGGAGCTGCAGCAGCTCTTAATCAAAGGGAGCTGATTTCCCTATTAAGGAATTACCTGTAGGGCTTGCGATGGACTTTGCCTGCCTCCTAGTCAGTCTATTAATTATACGGCACTTTGTTTCCAATTATGCAACCAGTGAAATGGTTAATCGAGTCCCCTTTGACGGACGCCTTGGTATTTAATTGTAAAAAAATTTGCTCTTCCGACAAACTCACCCACGGAGATGGGATTTCTGTCAGGTTTGTTTTTTAAATCAGCTGCTCTGTCTCTGCTGGCATAACACTTGCTAAACGGGCCTCTGCCCTTTCGCCTGCTGGGGGTGGGCAGCAATGTGATTGCTTCTCTGGTAGGCTTCATTACCCACTCCCTCCTGACCCTGACTCTTGCCCTCCATTGTCCAGCCTCAAGCGCCCACCTCCCCATGCCTTTATTAATGGCCCAGGTCATGTAAATGCCAGGGAAGCATGTCCCTCCCATCCTCCGGCCTGTCACTGAAGCACAAGCTTGTTTAGAGAAATGAGATTTCAATGGAGAAATGTCATCGTCTGATGTTTCCAATATTGCGAGTGCGCCTCCTGCATAGCAACGAGGCCTCCCCTTGATGGAGGCAGGTGGTGCCAAGGCTTCGTGCCTGAACGCCTGCCCGCGCAGCGCTCCTGCAGAACCGAGTTCTTCATCTCCAATCTGCTAAGCCTTCCCCTTCCCCCGGCCCCCCCCCCCAGTAGTTGTCACTGGCAGAAACTCTGTTCGAGATGCACTCTCGATAGCCAGGAGGCCTGACAACCGCCGAGCCTCAGTTGCAGGGATGGAGAAGCACCACTGTCACTCGCCGCACACCCAGAGCCGGTTAGTTCACCAGCGCTGCATTAGAGTGCGGCCTCTCTCAAAAGGTCTTCCTGTACTTTCTACTTCCTGCCAGGCTGGCTACACAACCAGACCCAGCGCCCATCTTGGGGTAGCCCTGTTTCTTCCCCTGCCTGGATCCTGGGTAGTGATGGGGCAAATGTCACCCATTATTTCTAGGCTGGTTCCCTGGTTTCCTGTTTCCCTTCCACCATAACAGAGGGTGTGTGCAGAGCACTGGGGAAGAGACATCACCTATGCTGGCAGGTCCCCAGCGGCCGTTTCTTCCCCCAGATTAGCTTGTCAGCAGTGATATCCACTTCCTCCAAGTTTGAACTGCTCCCAGCTCAGGTCCTAGTTGATATATTTTACCTATATCCTGAGCTCTGTGAGGATATGCTGCAATGCCACAGCAGGCCAAGATGGGCACCATATGCTTTCCTGTTTGTTAACAAGGGTCTTTATTCCTGGAATTGACAGAGCTGGGCTGGATTGGTTTTCTGAACTCTGATTCATAAATTAACGTGGCAAATGACCGGTGGCCTGCTGCCAGTCAGTTAATAATAATAGCTTGGTGCTGGTTCTCTCTGGGATTTGGCTGAAGGTCTCAGTTAGTTCTTATTTTACTCAGACCAGTTCACCGCATCCATTAGCGAGCCAGTTTAACTCCACTCTGAGCAGTCGCAGTTAAGACGAGTACTAGGGCCAGTTCGTGGTCTCAGTCACCTCTGTAACTCCACAGCCACGTCCATGTTTGTAGTTACTCTAGGTTCACACAGTATTGTAGTCTGGCCTCAAACACTTTGGACCTTGTTCCCTAGCTGGGGAATCTTTACTGTGGCAGCAACATGGAGGCAGATATTCTCTTGATCTGTTAATGTTGAGAAGCAAAATAAAACGAGGCCCTGGAGAGGCTGTTCAGTGATGTCTCTGTTAGCTGCCATGCCTTCTAATCAAGAAACCAACTCAGCAGTGTTAAACCTATTTTATGTGTGCTTGTACTGTTCTTTATTAATAACATAGCAGTACCCGTCAAAAACCATCTGACTTGAATAGATGCGTGTAGAAAGCAAGATTTTTCAGAAGCAGCCTGCAGCTTTGGGTGTCCTATTTGAGGTGGCATATAGGGGCCTGGTTTTCAAGAATCCTTGTTTACCTGCTCTCAGACTTCCTTGGGGTATCCATAACTGGCTCCTCAGAAGTAAAGCCCTCAGAAATTTCTAGTATAGTCTGGGCTGAAATTGCTCCCTCGACAGGGGCTGCCAGCAACTCTCCTCCAAGGTTTCATTGCAGGCAGATAAATCCAGCCCTTAGAACATTCTTCCTGTTTGAAACTTAAGTTTTTTTGCATTTTTCCCCCTCTATTTCCCCCTCATTGTACACCCATGCAAAATAATTTCTCTCCATCCACATCAGATGTTTACCATGGTTTTTTTTAACTGGTATCATGCCCTTCCCTTTGTGTTTGCACAGGCCTCTCGTTAGCTTTTTCCGTATCCTCCTGTTGAGCTATTCCTCCTTTGCTGCGCTGTTGCTGTTCTTTGAACTTGCTCCATTTTGTCAGTGCTTGGGAACCAACCTGAGTTGTTTCACAGGGGACTGCCAGCTCCTTCCCCTTTGACACAGTGGCCTTGTTGGGTCTTTGCCCCTTCACTATTCTCTCTTTTCGGGTGTCACTAGGAAACAGGTTGCAAGTAACAGTAGCATGAGATGAAGCAGAGTCTTTCCTCCCTTCCTTATTCTTCCTCCTCTCTTGTCTCCTTGGATAGATTTTAGCTGCTTTAGAGAAGGACGAACAGGCACGGAGGCAACGGCTGAGGAGTAAGCTGGAGCAGGCAATTGACACAATGGCCCTAAGCAGCTGAAAAGGCTGAGGCAGCCCTGACGACTTCCCGAGCAGTGCAGACCACAGGAGAGGGCCAGCCAGCGGCAGCAGCAGCAGAGTACTTTGGGTCCAGCGCCAAACGGACACGCGGAGCCTGCCGCGTCTCGAGACACTTACCATAAACCAACCAGGCCACCTACCACCGTACCAACCACAATCCAACCCGAACGACTCAGAGACCTTTCTAAAGGAGCAATGTAGGGAGCAGTGCGATGGAGCCGAGACCCACGCAGTGCGGTGGCGCCCCCCCAGCGGAGCTGCTCCTCCCGTGAGCACGTTCCAGACCGAAAGGCTGGAGGCTCGGGGCAGCCACGCTAACTTCTAGGACAATGTTTTTATGTTCTTGTTTTGGGTGGCAGGAGGGTGGGTGGGCTTCGGTTTTTACTGTACTTGACTTGCTTCCCTTCCACCACCCCCGCTCTTTACCCAGTCCCTTCCCTCTCCTCTCTTTCTCTCTCTCTCTCTCTCTTTCTCTCTCTGGCCTTCCGCCATTAGTGTTAACTGCTATATTTGCACAATTTACACAAGATAGACAACATTTTTAATTTAAAAAAAGAAAGTATAACAAAAAGGGGGGGTGGGGAGGCTGGGACTGGGGAAGGTCTGGGGCAGAAAGGTTCTACATTTTGCAACAAACTAACAAAACAACAACAAAAAAAAAAAGCTTTTGGAAAAAAAGAAATCCAAGGGCCGATGCAGGGAGGTTCGGGGTGGAGAACGGGAGACCAGGAAGTGGGAGCAGTCCCGTGAGCTTTGATATTTCATAAGATTTTGTCCTGTGCCATGTTTTATTTGAATGTTGTTTAGTGCAAGGAAAAAAAAAGAAACAAAAAAACCAAACAAAAAAAAAATTGACCGTTTTGTTAGCTGGATAGATGCTCTAATTTAAATGCTGCTTAAATGGTGTCTGAGGTAACCATCCAAGATGAGAAAGACCAGAAGGGAGGGGCACCCCGGCCTGTTTCCCCAGGGACTTTGCTGTTTCAGAGGGAGGAGCAGCATGGTATCGGTGTCCTCCTCGTTTCCTTTCTTCACATTGCTGTTTCTGTGTGGGGAGGGAAGAAGCCAATTATTTATCCCAAGAGCTCTGTCCAGCTGAGCTGTTTCTGCATTGGGAGCTTGTACTCCATCTTTCCCTGTGAAAGAAGAGGGTCCCATTTGCATTCTCCACCCCAAAGGGAGCTCTCAGCAGACCTACGGGGCCAGCAGCCGTTGACAATGCACCTCTTATCTGTGCCTCTCCAGTGCTCCGGCCCCAGGTCAAGGAGGTTAATGCTTTGGAAGATAGAGGTCATGGTCTGCTCAGGTGGACAGGGAGCAAAGGTCTTCCAGAGCCAGAGCGAAGGGAGAGTCAGGAAGGGTTTTGTTCATCTCAGCCATGTTTTCCTCCTTTGAGACGGTTCACTCCTTACATCCCTCTCATGTTCCTGGGGTGCTGAATATCTCAACAGAGCCTGCCGATCCCACCTTCCTCTAAAGCAGCTTTCATGAAGCTATGGTAAAGCTTCTGACTCACGCTGCAGCCTCTACGCTCCGAGAGCTCCCCCAGCACCATCCTGCCAGCTCCCCCTTTCAGAGCGGTGAGAGGCATTAGTCAAATACACTTGCTCTTTAACAAGGAGCAAGATCTGAGGCGCGAGGAGCTGTCATCCTGCTGCTCTGCCGATAACGAAGCCTTAACCTGCTGCAGCCTCATAGTCCAATTAGAAGCAGTTTTGACAGGAGCAACATCAACGGATTTGTTTCAGGTTAGGTCAAACAGATCCCAGGAATGGAAAGGGGGGTGGAGAAGCCTGGAATTTTGACTGAGTGGTAAAAGCCTTTTCTTCCCCCCACTCCCCGTCATCTTTTTTGTGCTGACTTAAGGGAAGGGCTCAGATCCCCAAGGGGAAAGTTTAGATCATTATTTCCTTGCAAAAGTCTTTAAAAGGCCTGCAGTGCCACATAATGCTGTACTTTCTAGCTGCGGGAGCTCCAGAGCAGCTCCCTGGGGTAGAGGAGGAGATCCTGTCACGAGCGGTGAGCATGAAAACCAAATTCGGGGCAAACAGGGAGGGCATCTCCTTAGAGGTCCTGACCTGGTTTCCCTGAATTCAGGCCATTTCTGATCCCAGCTGCTTGGGATCTGTTGGCACAAAAGGCCCTAGAGGCTTCTGTAGACTAAGCAGGTAGATGTACTTCCCCACGTATCAATTTAACTAAATGGGGGGCAGACTGGCGTGCCTCTCTCTCTAATCCCTTCCCCTAAGCCTAGGAACAGATGGTTAGGAAGGGGTGTGGTTGGGTGGAGGATGATTGTTATATCTGTGTTCACTGCTTACCCGGAGGCGGTGGGAGTTTTTCCAGCCGAGTGCTCAGAGGCTCTGGTGATGGGTATTATAGAAGGACCTTCCAGTAAAGGATCAGGAGGCGGTGTGAAACGAAGAGGTAGGAGGGACTGCAGAGTTTCTGCAGTGGCTTCTATGATGCTTCTGAATAATCTTGCTCTGTATGTTGGTGGTTTACGCAGCTCCTATCTCCTTTGTATGTACGCAGTATATACTCCACCCCTACTTGTTCTCTGCCTCACGGGAATCACTGCAGCACAGCTGGAAATAGCTCAGGTGCTCAATGGGGCTGATTCTCAGCACCCTTAATGAGAAAGGAGTGTGTCTTAGCCAGCATCTGCAAATATCCCCCAGCCTTTGGTAGCTAGTCAGCTGAGAACGAGGTGCGGAGGCAAAATCTTCCAAGGTAGACTCCCCCAGGCACCCTGTGGAGCCAGACCCAGCCAGGGATGACTCAATTCCCAGAACTTATCTTTCTCCTCCTTTCTCATTCCTCCTTCCTCTCCTGCACCGTGTCCCTCCCTCCCTTCCCCTTCCATTCTGTCTTTCTGGGAGATCTCTGCCTTCTCTCATTTCACAGCAAACCCAGGCCTCTGTCTCCTGGAAGCCTCCACTTGAAACGTCCAAGCCTCTGTATCAAGAAATGTACGCACCGAGGCGCGGTCCAGGTTCGGAGCAGGTGACCGCAACCTTCCGCAAACTATGAAATGGTTTTTCTTTTCCGTACCAAGAATCTGTTTTTGCAGCCTGGGCTGAGAATGGAGCCAAACTACGCCAGAGATGGGCTACTGCAAAAAGAGACAAAATATCAGCCCAGTTTCTATCTGTTCCCTTAGATCATGAGTGTGGGGGGTGGGGGAATAATGAAGATTTTAATTAAAGAAAAGTGTGTATATATATATATGTGGTTACAATCTAATTGTTGTGCCCCAGTGGGGTGCTGTATAGTTAACTGAAGGAGAATCAAACCAATATAAATATGACATGGATTTACACAGCCAGTGGAAAATACCAAATGGTCTGGAAAAAATTTCCAAGCATTTCTCATCAAGCAGAACAATCTTTTGAAGCCTGCACATCTCTAATTATGTTGTAATTCTGTTTTTTCTTTTTTTTTTTAATTAAAGAGGAGAAGCAGCTGATGATTTAAGGAGAAAAAACAAAAGCAACAAAATAGTAGTAATAAAAAAAAACAAACTCCCAAACCTACAAATCCTGAGCTGTCTCCAGAGTTGTGGGACCCGTGAGCTGTTGCATGACTGTGCTAGATTTTAGTCTGAGTTGATCTTTTTAAGAAACAAAAAACGAGCAAAAAAAAAAAAAGAAAAAAAAGAAACCCTGCAAGTGTTGAATACTAGAGGTTTGTTTAGACCCAGTTTGTTTGGTTTTTGTTTTTTAATTTTGGAATTAATTTGTCACTTTCTTGTCAGAAAACAATAGATTTGACTTCAGTGGTTTACTTCTTACAAAATGGTACTCAAAGAGCCTTAAAGGACAGCTATGTGTCTGCAGGCCCCAAAACAGTGGTTACTGCTCTCTCGCTTGCTCTCTGGGGATCCTCTTTAGCTATAACAGAGGGAAGAAATCTGCCGGTGGAGCTGTATCATGGGCCGTGCAATGTTCCCCTGGGGGGTACTTCAGATAATTGAAAGCCAGATCCTCAGCGAGTTGGAAACAGTGACTCTGTGCTGACTGCCATGGCACTGAGGACCTGATATTTAACATCTAGGATGTTTTGAAAAGAGATTCAGGGGCCACGTTGGGCTAAATTTTTTCCTTTTCTCCATCCTTTTTGGTTGAGCCTGGATTGTAGGCACGTTCAAAGACAGTTCAGCCAGCCTCACTAGGGGTTTCTACCCATTGCTCTGGCACACGGTCAGTATGATCCATCTGATGGAAGGGGCACTTCTTGCGGAGAGGTTGCTTTATCATCCTTTTCCCTGACAGTGACTCAGATCAGTAGCCGGTTGTAGAAGGAATGTCTAAAAACAACTGGTGTTGCACTGGCCGCCCTTGAAGGATGTTCAGGAAGCAGAAGGGTTCACTTTGTGGGTTTCCACAGGCTCCAATCTTGTGTCAGCCTCTGCTGTGTTCTTCAGGAGGAGATTTTGGACCCCAGGTGCTGCTCTCAGAAGACCAAGGCCTCCATACATGTCCAAAGGCAGTTCCTTAACCCTGAAGCGTGCTGGGGTGCAATGGCAGAAATGCTCCCCCAGGAAAAAAATGCCTGTTCATACCCTCTCTCCAGTTCCCAGAGGGAGGGGCTGTTTTACAAGGGTGAAGGAGGGCATACTGGATCCATAGTGTGTATACTCACACTTCTGGTATGTGCAAGGGGCTAGTTGGAAAAGCTGCTGCTCACTTGTGTGCTCAGGCTAGGTTCCCAGACGTGTGCATTTCCCTGTGCAAATCTGCACTTGTATCATGGCAAACCAGGCCCCAAAGCTTTGTGAGGGCACTTTCACGTGTTGCTCGTGTTCTTTGGTGGGGCAGAAAGCGTGCAAGTGTCCATGCTTTGAGCCAGCTTCAAATTCACCCTACGCAGGAGGTGCCCTGGGCTTGGATTTTGCTTCAGCTGCTATAGAGAGGGGGCAGAGGAGGTGGGACAGCAGTAAAACCTAGGTGCCGTCCAGGCCTCTCTTGGAAAAGGAGGGACTCTGGAAAAGAGCTGGGATAGAGGGAGGGGAAGCTGAGTGAGAAGCTTGCTGTGTTCTTGTTGCATAGCAGTGTGTTAACCTACCCATGTATTTTGCCATGCTCCTGTTTCTCCTAAGCACAAAATAGTGCAGGTAGGAGCCTTTCTCCTTTCCTGTAGGTCTGTCTGAGTTGGCCATCTTCCCCATGCCGTTATGCATGAGCTGAATTAGTGACACCAATAAATTGGGCAGGAAGAATAACCAGCTGACCAGCTGGCTCTTCAGTGTGGGATTGACTTAGTAGGGAGGAAACAATCTGATGTTTAACATGGAGATGGGGTGGATCCAGGATTTCCCAAATAGGGGTGCAGAAGCAGCAACCTGCAGTGCAGGGTGGTTGCACCCCCTGCTCCCAGCCTCCACCCCCACCAGAGCAGGTAGACCGTGCCATGGGAGCCCCAGGGACTTTGAGCAGGAAAGGGAAGGAACTGGGTATTTTTACCTGTTTTGGGGACTTTACAGAGGCATACACCTCTCCCTTGTGCCCCCGCAACTCCCTTGCCTGCCGCTGCTGCTTTCTTCACTGTTTGGAGGCTGGGCCCAGCTGGGGAGGGGTCACAGGCCACAGTGGGGTGGGAGAGTTGTTCCCCCCATCCTTCCTAGTCCCCTAGGAGCAGGCAGGGGAAGGGGAGCCCCCCATATCCCCACTGCCGTCCCTTCCGCAGCTGAGCCCAGCCCCTCCATGGGCAGGAAGGGCTCTGGTGCTTCCCAACCCCCCCGGCAGGGAAAGCAGCAGGCTGGAGAGAGGGGAAAGATGAGAGGAGGGGTGTGCCTCTGAGCAGGAAGGGAGAGGGGATTTTTACCTGCTTTAGGGACTTCAAAAAGTCCCCAGAGGCTTCCATGGGGCAGTCCAATCCAAAGGGGTGCATTCATGCCACTGCACAGCGTGACATATCTATTGATGGTTGGACTCTCATAAATGCCTTGTCTGCTTTCTGTCACTGCCTGAGCAGGTGTCACCCTCTCAGCCCCAGCACTGTGGGTCATGTCCGGGATTCCTCATTGAGTATCATGCCAGGCCCAGAAACAGGTGCAGTGCCCAGCACAGAGAAGTCTCTTCCTTCTTCCCCTCCTCACTCTTCTCCTGTGGCATTTCTGGCAACAGCTTGCAGATTCTTGTCATTTTCTTCCGCCAGAGCCCCCCCAGCCCATGGCTGTCAGCCGGTCCTTTACAGTCTGCTTACTGCTGTTCCCAGCTGCTGGGCGTGCTGAACGGCGTCTCTGTGACTGGGTACTTGTTTGAATACTCTCCGTTGACTCCTGAGTTTTCTGGTGCTACTCTTGACCGTTCGTGTCTAACGCCAAAGGTGCTTCATTATGCTCAGGCTTCTGCCTGGCTCCTCAACCCTTCCTTCTGGCCTTCAAAACTGAGCCACAGTCAATGCAGGGTCTGGGGGACAGCGGCAGTGAGGCAGAGATCTACTGACTCGGTGAATGGATCTTTGTTCTCATCCTGCTGAAAATGAAAGGAGGCCAGGAAAAGCCTACTCCAACCCCAGGTGCCCAGAAGCCTTCTCCCAGAGCTGAAGCTTGGGCCCTTAACTTCATGAGGGGACAGGCCAGACAATGTAGATGATAGCTGCCCCTGTGCTCGAGCTCCCACTCTTTGGTCAGGTCTTGCTGTACTTGCTGCTGCTGTTAGGGAGTTGGACCATAGGAAACAATCCTGCACTGACCAGGAATGGGAGTGACCGCACAGGCCAACAGGTCGGGTCCTTCTCCAGTCTCCTCTGGTTCAGGACAACATTCTTGCGCTTCCATTTTCATTTGGCATTAGATTTTAAAAGCAACCATCCTTCAGAAGTGCCCCTTACACCAAATGCCTCTCCGTGGCCCCCCCATTCATCCAGCTCCTTGGGGCAGTGGTCTCATTCTGCCTTCTCTTGGAAGGAGCCAACATGCAATTAGCTGTCCTTTAAGAAAACGGGAGAACTCCCCTCCCCTCCCCAACAAAACCAACAAAAAGCCGAGAATTTACAAGTCAACTCCAGAGTCCTGATAACTTTACATGATTGTTTCAGACTTGAAGCAACTGGCCAGTGTGTGGCTGGTCAACGGCCTTCGGTCGTGTAAATATCCTGCTATTTCCTATTTTAATGTTCTTCAGATTTAGTACTTGTAAATAAACACCCGCATCAAGGAGAGATTAAACATTTTTGCTAAATGGGGTGTCTTGCTTGTGTTTGTGAACCTTGGGCTTGGAGGGGGTGAGGAGCAGGGGATCTGGGCATGGGCAGTACCTCACTCTTTCCACCTGTTCCTGCCATGCTACCATGGTGGGCGCTGAGTTCCATGATGGGCCCTAGGAAATCTGGTCCCCCTTGCTCCTGCTCTTCCCCTGGCATGGACTTCCACCTCTCCTTTGCTCCCACCTGGCTGGCAGGCACCCAAGGAAGGCACCCTGAATTCCAGGCCAGCAAGAGGAGAAGTCTTCATCATCCAGGGGGCTATTGCAGGAAGGTGGGGATATCTATCTGTCACATCTTCCCTTTGTCTTTTGACCCTTGGTGTTTGTATAAGATCATCTCCTGGGGCTCTAAGACAAGCTTGTGCCATGTGAAGGATGTTACCTTTGTTGCTTCGAACCTTGATCTTCAGCTTGATGCAAGTTCCTGAGCAGAAGAAGGTCTCCTGGAATCTCAAAGGTAAGAGCCAAAGGGGCTGGAAGGTCTCATCTTCTGGGGTCCTTTAGTTAACCCAGAATGAATCCCTGTGAAGAGTAATAAGAGTCTTGTCAGAGGTGAAGAGTCTTGTCGCCTGCTCCAAGCCATCCAGGTCAATGGCTCTGGATCCAGGAGTTCAGGATGAACGGCTGGGACAGGCTCTTTCTCCTTCATACCAGCTATGCTGCAGTGGGGGGTAATCCAAAATGTGGGTGGCCTGGAAAACCAAGGGGCTAGCCAAAATGTGTCTTGAGAGGCAGGGGCTGGGTTGTGGCCCTCCCCCTGGAACTGCCCCTTCCCACCTTGCCAGTTCTGGAAGTCCTTGCATTGCCATGCAGATGCCCCTCAGCTAGGGCTGGCCAGGCCCTCTGCTTTTCCTGGCCTATGCTTCCCTTCAGAAGTCTCTCCTCTTCCTCATCAACAGGGATCCTGGTTTTCTCTGTTTAAAAATCACAAATGCTCTGATTTAAAGGGCAAAAAAGCCATGCAAATTCTCTGATTAAAAACCCCAAACCTGTGTTTTTCCATGATTAAAATGAAACACCACTATAGATATAGGTGTCAGTTGAACACAATACGTTATTGATGTATTTACAATTTTGAGGCTGTTTGGAAGCCTACCAGTGCCTCAGTTGCTATTATAAAATAAATTCTAAATACCTATACATTTTGGTGCTGATTTTTGGGTGTTTTATCATGGCAAATCAGAGCTCTCCCTGCCCCCTTCACTCTCCAGGATGCGGCTGTGCCACCTCACTGCTTTTTGGTGCTGAGCAGCCCTGATATGCCAGTGTGCTGCCTATACCATTGCCCCTCACTCCTCACCCGCAGCCCCCCAGCCCTGCTGGTGCCCCTCACTCCCCACCCACAGCCCTCCTCAGCCCTGCTGGAGGGGGCCCCCAGTTGCCAGGGCTGCTGCCTGCAGGAGGCTGTAGCTGCTGTGGTGGAGCAGAGCGCGAAGCTT